GGCATCGTTTGTTTTCAAAATAACGGGGCCAACTACCGTGGTGTCAAGAGCCCCGGAGCACTGGTGTGGAATGTGCCTTTCTCTAAATTGGATTTCAGATAATCTATTATGGAAGGATTCTCGAAGCTAGAGTGTATCAGAGCCAGAAGGTCCCTTAGAGACCATCTGGTCCAAACTGCTTGCTTTGTGTAAGATAAACTATTCAGGGAGGCATTGTTTTATCAATGGGATAAGTTTGACTGATTCCAGCCACTTAAATTTTGTGACTAGTGGTAGATGTGATTACAGGTGAATGAGCGGGAGTTGTAAGAACCATCCAGGGCTATGAAACGAAACAAAGCTTGCAAGAACTCACAATGGAGATGGACCGCCTTCTCCTCAATCCAAGGTAGAATGAATGGGGTTGACCCAAGGATGAAGCCAGCTGGAAGAGGTATAAAGTCAAAGTGAGGCGCACGGTGAACAAAGGGCAGCTAGGTTGAATGCTTCTAAAAAGAAATAGAAAGTGAAAAGGAAGGAAGATGAAGTCCTTCCTGAGTGCAGAGTTGGACAAAGAGACAATGCAATGAAAAATGCCCAGTGCATCTGTCTGCTTGGCCCCCCATAACGGCATTTTGTTCTAGTGATTTCTACAATGGCTTGGTATCCTCTGAACATACGCCAAGTGCCCAATGACCTGCTCAGTGGCAGGGGGAAGCTGGTCTGAGATTGTAGCTTGCCACTTGGACTTCACCCAGGCAAGAGAAGAGTAGACACTCGAAGGTAGACAGCCTTCCTTGAATTAAACACAGGCTCCGGGAGGTACCACTGAGTGACCTCAGGCAAGTCATTTAATCTCCTCATCTGTAAAATGGGTATGTTACAGGCCCCAGAGAATTGTCATGAACGTTAAACAGGGTAACGTGCGTATGGTTCCCAGCACAGCGTCAGACACATCAACGATTAGTACGCCTTAGCACATTACTGGTACTGAAGGGAATGGTTTAGCGTTGACTCAAGTTAAGATGGACACAGAGAACCTGAAGAGAAGCCAAAGGAAGAAAGGCTAGCCCAAGTGTGGGAAGAAAGTACTATGGAGGGAGGAACTGGAAGGCAGACTAGAAGAACAAAAGCTATTCAGATCTTCAGCTGTGCTGAGAACTGAATAAAAAAAAGCTTCAACTGGGGTGCCTGGGTGGCTCAGTCCGTTAAGCATCCGATTCTTCATCTCAGCTCAGGTCTTGATCTCACAGTTGTGAGTTCAAGCCCTGGCTTTGGGCTCAGCACTGGGCTCTGCCTGCTTTAAAACAAACAAACAAACAAACAAACAAACAAGCAAACAAAAAACCTCCAACTATTGCATAAGGGATTTGGGTTATACTTATGGAAGAGATTTCCTGGCAGTGGAAGGTATCAAATGTTACTAGATAAAGAGATTTTTTTTGTCTTCTGGGATTGTTTGGTCAGCTGTTCCTGGGGCCAGAGAGATGGATGAGATACCACGGATCCAACCTCATGAGTCCTCAATTCCGAGAATTGAAAGCAGCAAATGTGAGATCCAGCTGCCCCTAAAAGCTGTTTCTGGCAGAGGTTCTTAGATACATCCGATGCATTGAACTCTCTTCTGCTAACCCACAGTACTTGACGGAGGGGGGGCAACTCAGGTTGTCAGCAGTCTTGACCTTTCCTCTCACAGGAGTTGACCAAAACATTTTTTCATTGGCCCTTTAAAGCCAAGGTGGCCGAGGCAGTATCATCTCTTGAGGTGTCCCCCCTGGCCAGATTCCCCTAGAAACCCACGAGCCTGTTCTTGAACCACAGCCTGGGAGAGCAGGAAAGGATGGACTGTCCTTGGGCTAGAGGTCAGAGGGGCCCATGTGGGAAACTCTTCCTGAATCCACCGACATGAGCTTTGGCATCTGGGTTCTGAGTTTGATCAGGTATTCGATCTGACCCCAGCCCTGAAGAACAGGGAGAATAAGAGAAGCATCATCTGAATCCCCACCTCAATGAGGGTGGGTGAGATCCTATGACACCCTAGGAGACAGTCATCCTCTACCATTTAGGGTCCTATAGAGTAATCAGCTTTGTCTTGGAGACTCTTCCTGAGTCTGCTTCTCCAGGAAAAGAAATTAGCCATCTTCCCTTGGGAGCAGTGGCCCCAAAGCCCCCAGCTGGCTTATCCTTCATAAATTATCATTTATCCTATCATAAATTGGCACCTGCTGCAGCTGACCAGTTTTTCATAACCTCTTCTTTGGGTCCAGCCTTCTAACCCTTCATGATACCATATGTCACCCTGACTCCTCTTCAAGCCTTCCGTGGCCTTAAGAATCCAGTTGAGATGCCTTTGGAGCCTCTTCATTCCCAGCTCAGCTTCTCTTCCACGTTGGGCTTGAGTTTATTTAATGGCCACTGAGGAGGGATGGCCTCTTAGCTAAGACAATGGGAACAATGTTTAAGGAAAACATAGTGGAAGAGGTTCATCAGGGCAGCTCGCTAAGACAAAAATGTCTTTCTCCCTCACCTCTTTTGCCCTTGGATTTCAGTTTTCTTTGGTTTGAGTAAGAAAGATACTCCCAAAGCTGGCTGTCAGAAGCAGGGACAGATGGGATATCCATCTTTAAAGAGGCGATACAGTATAGTGTCAGAGCACACACTTTGGTGCCAAATGGTCCAGAATCCAAAACACAACTGACTTGTGACCTTGCCAAGTCTGTGGACTCCATTGAGCCTCAGTTCCCTCTGGTGCAAATGGAGGTGGTCCCCCCCCCAGGTTTGTTGTGAGGATGAACATGACTATGACTATGACGTCTAGAGAGAGCTGTTAGCCCAGGCTTGGCCCGTCATGGATGCTCACCAAATGGTGGCCCTGATTATTGCCTCTGACTTTTAGAATGTGCTTCCCTATATTTTTTGAACCTTGGCTTGTTTCCCAGTAGCTTCTCCTCCTTTGGGATAATTCTGTGGTTGCTAGCCCACATCCTATGAACGGGAGTATTGCTATAACCTTTTTATAGTCACAGCTCCCAGCATTGTCAAGGTCCCCACAGCGAGACTGTTCATTTCTCCTCCGTCCCATACTTACTGCTTTGCTGGCCAAGTGTGCTTGTGGTGCTGCGTGCTATGGTGTGAATTAAATGTCCACAGGGTCTCGGGCTGGTTTCTGCAGATTTTGTCCCTGCGTGGAAAGAGTATGCCAACTGAGCTGGCTCTCCCACGTAGTCCGGGGGTTCCCCGCACTCAACAGACTCACCAACCTCACACCAGAGCCACCTGCCCTGAAAGCTCCTTCTCCTCATAGTTCCCTTGACCTTGTGTTGTCTTGACTGTTTGGGTGATGCCACGATAATGGGTGGGAGGAAGCCGCTGCTTTGTATCAGGCTTTCTTGGGACTGAGAGCTGGCTGTCACAAGAGTTACAGACGGTAACCAATTAACCCCATAATGGATTAACCCGTTCAGTAGCCACTGTTGTGTATGTGTGTGCCGGTGGGACAAATGAGGACCTCTGCAGAAAGAGAGATAACACGCGGGGTAAACTGTTGCCTTCTTGTCTGTTCCCTTCTCCCCTTGAATCCATCCATCCCACAAACACCGACTGAACGCTCGCTGTGTGCTACGTGTTGTGCCAGCCGCCTAACTAACTCTCATCATTTCTTCCCCTGACAAAAGCATGAAATAGACACCAGCTCTAGGAAATGCACTCCCCGATGGCTAATGGAGAGAAGCTGAGTGCCTCTAAGACGGGAGCCCTGCTGACCCAGCCGGGCACCAGCCTGTCCAACAAGCTCCTTTAGGAGACACCGGTGTCACGGAGCCAGGGTTCCCCCGCCACTCTGTCCTCGCTGCCAG